CCTTCCAAATATCATGAGGGAAGTAGCAACAACATGGGTAGCGGAAAAAAGGGGAAAAAAGGGAAAAAAAGAGCCTGTAGGGTTGGCAGAATGGATCTTTACAGTAAGTGCAGGAAAAAATGGACAATATCGTAGAAAAGTAGAAGTGGAGTATAAAAATGGGTCCTGAAAAAGAAAAGGAAAGGAACTGGCAAATGCAAACGGGAAAAAAGAATAGTCTGTCAGATAAAGCTTAGGTCTGAGAGTCAGGATTCCCGAGTTAGACCCCTACCTGCCTTTCACTGACTAACCTCGAGAAAGATGAATTCCCTTTTAGTGCTTCAGCTTCCTCATCAGCAAAATAAGCATATAAAATATGTAACTCTCATAGGGAGCTGAAAACACCTTCAATTCTTGGTACAGAAGTAGTGATACTTACTGCTATTAGTCAGAGAAAAATTACTTTGCTTTTTATTACTTGCTATGCAAGTGCCTGGTAACCCTAACTGAGAAAAGTACCATTGTGCCTCGCACTGACATCGAAAGGTACAGATCTGAAAAATCATGAAAAAAGTACGAGTATACAGTAATTTCACAAACAAATTGTGCAAAAATAATTTAAAAAATTGCAGACCACATGTAAAGAAATATGCTGTAGTAATTTCTTTGCGGGTGAGGACAGAAAAATGCAAATAGAAGCAGGGTAGACTTAATATTGCTCTTCTCAATTTCAGAACTGTCAGTCAAAAGGAAAACAGACACTGGAATTTGGAGAAACAGAGACTTGGAGACCATGGAAGGCAGAGACAATGGAAAATATGAGCTTTTTGATTCAAAAGCTGTTTAGTGTGAGATAAGCACCTTTCAGGAAATAATGCATTTTTTTTTCATTTATTCCAAAGAGGAAGGAAAAAAGACTTTGTAAACTTGAAAACTGTCTTGAAACACATCATTCTTAATTTCTATTCAGAAATCTGAGAGCAACAATAGAACAGTTAAGACTCATTTTCATTGTCATTTTCAGGTTGTAAGAGTCTGGGAAAGCCTTCAGATCAGCTGAATCAGCCAATGGAAAGGAACAGAAATTCATAACGAAGAAAGAAATCCATCACTTTAAGAAACAGCACAACACACATCAGGTCCACAACTCTATCAGCAGATACGGCTTGGAATTTACTTCCACATTTTTATCTTGTAATTCTTGCATAATACTAAGGGCTTTTTATTGTTCCCAACGAAAGGGCCTAACTCATCCCTTGAAACTGCAGGTACAGACCCACCAGTCATGTAACAGTTTCGTAAAACTATTTCCTTTGCACGCTCAGACCAGGTAAATAGCTCTTAAAAGCAGAGCACGCTGAAAATTTCCTCCCCTTTCTGGCTGCTAAAAGGAGTTGTAACATTGAATTTCTTAGACCAGAAAGAGGCTAAGGATAATCTGATGGACCTAATCAACCTCTGGAGACAGCTTTCTTGTCCTTTTTCAGTCAAAGCTGTTTGGCAGGGATGTTTGGTTCACAAGGATGACAGTATTCTTAAAGTATATCCCCTGTGCTCTCCAAGTTTTTAACTCCAGCAGGTTTTAATCTTGCAGTTAGTGTGTATGTCTGATTCCCATTTAGGTTCCTCTTCAAAATATGTTCTTCTTTTGTTTTAGCATCACTACAGTTTTGGCCAGGTTCCAAAGTTTTCTAAAGAAAAATTTCAAAGAACTTCTATATAGATAATTTATGCACAAATTACTGTCAGTCTCATGGGCAGCTACTCAGCCTCACTGTGATTGGAACTAATAACTATTACCAAGATACGATAATTTCATATAACATTAGGAAACCATCTGGTGCCTTCATTTAATGTTGTAAAATAATGCCACTGTTTTGCTCAATCCACTATCATTATAACAAGGCAAAGTAGCTGATAAAAACATACACACAGGATGTGTATGGACAAAATTATACTCTCGATCACTTTTGTACAACTCCCCAGAGGTCATACTCTCACAGATTTTTAACATAGGAAGGGACTACTAAAATCTAATCTAAGCTCCTGTATAATGAAAGCTATGTATTTCATTGAGTAGCCTCTACAATAAAAGCGTGACATCTGTTTGGGCTATGCTATATGCATTTTTCTCATAATGGCAATGTGTGATAGCTGAATCCAGCACATCTCTCGGTTAAGTCGTACCAGTGGTTAATTACTATCACTGTTAAAAATATGCACCTTATTTCTAGTGTGAATTTTCCTAACTCCAGCTTTGAAACACGAGATCTCATTATGCCTTTTCCTGCTAGATTAAACAGCCATCTACTGTCAAAAGTCTCATTCCCCTTAAAGCACTTATGGACCATGATCAAGTCACCTCTTAACCTTCTCTTCAACAGATTAAACAGAGGATCTTCTTTAGATGCTAACTATATTGTGTACTTCCAGACCTCCAGTCATTCCTTCACCCTTTATGAACCCTCTCCAATTTTAAACATATTTTTGAAGTGTGGTCACTAGAACTGGGCACAATATTTCATTAATGGCCTTTCCTTGATATTCCCTTGTTTACATATTAAAGGATTTAATCTACTGTTTTAAAACCTCCTTTAGCTTACTGATAAAACAGAAAGTATTCTAAAAGTAATTTAAAATATGAGTATTAATCCTTATTTTTTATATACAATGCAGAAAAAAAGTATGCAGCACTTTGTCGTTTCTATATTATCTACATTCAGTGTCACTTCTGCACATTAAGGTGTTTTTCGGATTTTTTTTTGTCTTCTTCCATCAATTGTCTATACTTCAGTGTTTTTCATAATATTTTTGATATCCATGAGTTGTTCAATTCTAGTAATGCCCTTTAAGGCAATTCAACTCACAGTCTTATTTTAAATATTTTCTTGCCTTTTTATTTTCTTCATGCAAGAAAATGGTATTTCTGAAGCAATTTGTTTGTACAAAATATAAACATGTTCTGCTAACATATAAATACAGACACAGTATATTGATCAGAATTATAGCATTCTGTTTTCTAATCATTAAATTGTATGATACTGATTAACCTAATTAGGTAAAAGTGCCTAATTTAACCAAAAAGTTTACTGTAATAGATAGAGAGAATATATCCAAATGTTTTGCTTTTTTTTTTTTAATGGAAAATATATTTAATCAGATTGTATTCCTTATACAGCTGTCTCTAGTGAATAGCACTTACATCAAGCAGATTCTAATTTGTACCTGGAAGATGCTTCACAAGCTGAATGAATTAAATGAAATCGTATGGTTTTCATCTTTATTTTCTCTTTGACCATGATTTTCAGTTATTTGTTTGCTACAAGAGTTATAGCTACTTTTAGTACTTAAGCTTAGATTCATTTCACTAGGTATAAAATAATACTAATTAATTTGCATACTATTTAGATAAGATAGTAAATTGTAATTGGAAGAATATTGGGAACCATTCGATTGATAGCTGCAACAGAAATACTTAACTATCAGTGCATCTGCATGGCACGGAATAGTTACTAACCATGATCTGCTCACACATAAATTCCAGCAAATATGTTTATTCAACAGAAAAAAACGTAAATTTGACCTCAATTTTAATATCTGAATAAAAAACCCTCTGTTTTGTTCTGATATCTCTCTTTCATAATTAAGTAGGAGAATTCAGAATGTACTAAAAGTAATTATATACTAAATTATATGAGTTGACACTGCAAATCTATTGTGTGTAGGTCTGCACTATTTAAAAGGCATATACTGCTAAAATAAAGGTCTTTCTATGCAGGATGCGCAACTGCTACTTTCTTAGCAGTAAGTCCTCTCTAGTTCTTGGATACAATATACTAGGCAAACATAAAATATACTTAGATAAATAGAAACAGAAAGAGGAAGAGAGCAGTAAGGAAGCAGTATGCAGAAGAGGGAGCATTATACTAAAATTTCCGCAGAGGGGAAAAATATCCAGAGAAAAAGAAATAGTATGGGTGCTAAAAAATAAAAAAAAAAATGCACACACATACAGAAAAAGATAGAAAATTAAGGGCTGTGGAGAAGGAAAACTGAAAGTTAAGAGATGCAGATAAATGTGTTTTTGGCAACTAGACTGAAAGACACTGCTAAGTTAAAATTGCTTCCTAATATTTTAGAGTCTATAGTTCCAGTCTGAAAGAGAATAAATTCACAGTCTTCTGCCAGGTAAAAATGAAATTAAAGCCCTGTAGTGTTTTCTGGTAACTCAATAAATACCTTGTGTCATCTCTCTATGGCCTGAGACTTTAATCATTTTCACTCTTTTAAAAATCTCAGTCTCTAAGCTTTCTTTGAATGTTGTTTCACTGAATTGTTTCACATACTTCCTGCCATCAAGAGACCTCTAATTAATTAGTTACTTCTATTAATTTCCTCAGCTCCTTTTCCAAGAATCATTCTGGAGAAATATGCAGAGCCTTCCTAATGCATGTTATAAGGTAAGTAGCATAAACATCTTCAGTTACTGAACATTAATCGATTTTTATTTCCAAGCAAAAGTTGAAAGCCCTATAATTATTCTAAGAAATTTAAACTATGTGTACACTTGGATTGCCACTAAAGTCATAAGATTAAATACTGAGCATACAGTCTTGGTATCTGAACAAATTTTGTACTCTCTACATCTGATGAGAGGAACTGAGTACACATTCCTCAATAACTGGACCAACTTAAGAGCTACTTTGAGCTTCAGTTTATCTGATTTCAAATGCCAATATAACAGTCACCTCAAAGCTTTACATGATAGCATCATAACTCATAAAAACAGAATATACTAGCTAAAAGTCTTAAAAACATACCAAAGATTAGCCAAGCCTTGAGAACACCTCTCTCCTTGGAAGATCTGAGATACATCTGTGCTATTAAAGATGAAGGGATACAAAACAAACCAGCCTTTGTCCCCTCAAGCATATTTCTTACTAATTTAAGCCAAATTAAGCACCTAGTGAAGGCAGGAAAGAAACATTTCTGTCCAATATAGCAGCATATTTCACTATATTTCAAATGGAATGGCCCACGTCACAGGTTAAAGGAGTAGAAAAAGTGGAAGAATCTGAGCTTTTTATACGGACCCCAATTTCAATTTGACAGTTTCCCAAAAATATGAAGTCCGACAGATTTTTCTCATCCCAGCCACTGATATTGTAAGTGTGATCCAGTCGCTCAAGTAAAGACTGAGAGATCTGTAGTTAAGTATAATGTCATTGAACTGATCCTATAACTCACACTCTGACAAAACTCATTCTTTTACACAGCAATGTGAGACTTTTCTGAGCAAAGTATTCAGGTTTCTTGACCTACTCCATCACTGTATATTCAGCTCTTTACGCAAAAGTCATCAGAGAAATTGTCTTTTATTTCCCATGAAAGATTTTATACTTACTTCCTTTGCTATCTTGTAAATCCCCCCAAAAGTGCTTTTCAGTTGGTTTTGACAGCACTGAGAATCATATTCTTTACTATACCTCACTCAGTAAGGTGCGCACTTTCCCTCACAATCACGATATGAAATTTTGCAAACAGAATATAAGGCTTACCTTGAAGAAAGTCATAGTTGCTCCATCTTCAACCGCTCCGTACTCTATCTTTGTCTGTTTGGCCAAATCATCGGCAGAATCAATAGGGGATTCCATACGTTCCACTGTCAGAAAGGCGGCTAGGTTAGCAGTGTACGAGGAAATGATGATAAGTGTGAAAAACCACCAAATGCCTCCCACTATCCTGGTGGAGAGGGCTTTGGGCATGAGCTCAGAACCTAACAGAAACCAGGGGAGAAAGGTGAAACCAGTGCACAGAAAACAATTAATAAGAGTTCAGCACTTTTTGCCACAGTGGTGAGATGGAATCACTGTGCAAAAAAATTTTTAAGCTACAGGCTAACATATTGCTTGTGCAAACACACACAACTGAAACAAAACATAAGAACTAATTACACTTATAAAGACAGATCTTTTTGGAGCTGTGGGAATCAAAGGATAGTAATGGGAGACACAGGGATCAGTGCCTTTAAAAAAAAAATCTATACCAATAAGAAAAAAACTTGAACTGATTTTCCAGACAAACTTCTGGCTGAACTTAGCCTCTAAGTTAATACTAATCTTGAAGTACTTACACAGTTCTTTATCTTCAAGGCACTAATCAAACATTAATTAAATGTTTTAAAAAACCTTGCTTGATTAAATCAAAATGAGCTATTGTTGAAAGGAGCAGATATGACAGAGTATTTCATACCTGAAATACATAATATAAACTGTGTTAGGAATATAAATGAATCCTTGACTTTTGCCATTTGTATTGCAGTAAAGGGTTGTTTATTGAACGCTTAGATTAAAAAAAAAATCTCCCATCTCTATAGTTAGCCCCACAATTTCAGATAAACATGGGTGGCTGTGCCACACACTTAATTTGATAGAGCAGCAATGACGATATTAGACTGCTATGCATAAACTAGATAAAGATAGATTATAATGCATTGCTGGAGTTGCCTGCTCATGGCACTAAAGAACGGAGGGGACTACAGACACTGCATGGCAATTTACATAATTATTAATGTTAATTTAGAGTCTAATGAGACAAATTGAAGCACATACATAAACTCATCTTGTGCTTCATTATTAAAAATAGGAAAAATGAAATTCAACGTAATTTACAGTCACAAATATTTACTGTAAATGAACATGTATGGACTTTTTCTCCATAACATTAAAATTAAGTGGAATGAAATTTCTAGTGATGTCAACAATTTCAAGCTTCATTGGAAAAAACTTTACATACAATTTTTGAAAAGTATCCAAAAACTCGGTTTCAAAGAAATAGTTTTATCATATCCACTATATCATTGTACCAAAACAGTCACTTTTGCTAATTGATTACTAGACTTCTTTTTAAATCTCCTGGGTAAAATGGAATGAAGGCAAGATGGACTATTTTATTCCTGTTAAATTTTAGTATTTATATTGAATTATTTAAGGAACTGGTCCAGCAAGGTAACACATCTTCAAATAAATGAAAGATTATGCCAAACTTTCAACGTCAATGCCAAAAAAAAGAAAGGAACAAAAAGAAAAAAAGGAAGAAAATCAAAGAAAAGGAAAAAAAGAAGTGGTATCATAACTGGACTATTGTATTCAAAAACAGCCCATCTTACCCTGCAGTTCATCTTACCCTTGCTGTTTCAAACAAAAAAAGCTGACAGACTTGGACATGACAGCCAACTCCAGCGCCAGACTCTGCCTAGAATTCTGCAAGGAAAAAAGTAGAAAAGTACCTTTCTGATGTAGTTGCTCCTAGGCCCTGTTAGTCAGACACTT